TAGAGAGGCTAGAGAATGAACCCAAAGAATAGGATTCTCTTGCCAAAAAACTCCTGTAGGAGCATGAGCAGAGCAAAATACTAAGAATTTTAAAGGCTGGGCATAATCTATCTAATCCAAATGAGCCCTTTCTAAGGCATTTTCAATTAAAGGGATACATTCACGTCCTGCTGTAGTAAGGGCTCGAGGAGAGTTGGGATCTGAATCACCTTGTAAAATTTATCAAAAAGAGGTTTAAGCTGTCCAGTAGTAATTTTTAAACTAGGTCTGATCCAATTAATATCTCCCAGAAGCTTTTGGAAATCATTTAAGGTTTGAAGGGTGTTCAGTCACAGATTAATCTTTTGAGGGTGCACCCCATTATGAAGCAAGCGATGTCCTAGAAACTCCTTTTGTACCTTTTCTGGTGCTATTTGTAAGCCAGCCAATCCTAAGGTAGTCTGAAGATCCCCAAAGAAAACAATAGTTTTTCTTTTGGCACAGCCAACAATATATCGTCCATGTAATGAATTATATACAATTGAGGATATTTTTGTCTGACTGGCTCTATAGCCTGAGAAACGTAAACTTGACACATGGTAGGGCTATTAGCCATGCATTGGGGCAAATCTACCCACTGATACCTCTTATAAGGCTCTCTTAAGTTTAAAGATGGAACACTGAAAAAAAAGCACTGACAATCAGTAGGGTGTAGAGGAATGGTGAAAAAGCAATCCTTTAAATCTATCACAAGCAACTGCCAGTTTTTTGGGATGGCTACAGGGGCTGGTGACCCAGGCTGAGTGGTACCCATGAGCATCATAGTCTTACTAACCTGTCTCAGTCTCCATTTACCTCATTTTTTCTTAATAACAAATATAGGAGTATTCCAGGGGGAGGTAGAAGGGACAATATGGCTGGCATTGAGTTGCTCCTGGACCAGGGCATGAGCAGCCTCCAACTTTACTTTAGATAGGGGCCATTGTTCTACCCAAACTGGTTCATCATTTTTCCAGGTGATAGGAATTAGAGGTATATGAGGCTACAGAACAATTGGCCCCCATTAAAAATGCCCCAATCCTCTCCAATCTCCAGGGAATCTCTGCACTGGGGTTTGTCAGATATAGGCAGGGAATCACCCTGTAAATTCCTTCCAATTCCTCTTCCTGGGCAATAGCCTTGCTCTCTAAGCATGTACTGCACAGGAGGTGTGGCCAGAACGGTCCCCATGGTTTCTAGGATATCTCTACCCTACAGACTGATCAGGATGTGAGGCAAAATGAAGGGCTGAAATATTCCAGAATGTCCCTCAAGTCTTTCCAAGTTAGTAGATGGGAACTTTTACTAGGTGACTTTGCTAGACCTATACCCTGTAAGCTGCTATCTGATTCTTACAGGGGCCATGCCATTAGACAGGGAAATGGGAATTATGAAATTTTCCCAGCTGTTTTTTGTCTTGATTTGTTTCAGTATTTCTTTGTTATGCTCTCTTCCATATGTTGTGGAATAGTAATGTGTATCCTTGCCATTATGTGGTGGAAGCATATAAACTATTTATAATTCTGATTATGAGTTTTGGGGGATTAAGATCAAGAGATTGTATGAAACACAGAAGAATCTTTGAATTTTAGACTTTTAAACATTCTTGAGACTGTGATAGAATATGGGGACTTGGAAGTTGGACTAGACGTATTTTAGCATTATCATATGACAACAAATTTTGGGGGCCCATGGAGTGGAATAAGGTTCTTAGAAAAAAATTCTTCCCCCAAATGAGTGGCAGTATTAGGAAGTATGACCATGACGGAGGAGGTGTGGTGTTGTTGGAAGAAGTTTGTCACTGTGGAGCTGGGCTTTGAGGTATCACATATGCTCAACATACTGCCCAGTGTGACAGACCACTTCCTGCTGCCTGCATGTGAACATGTAACAGCTCTGTGTCTAGCACCATGTTTGCCTGTATGCTGCCATGATGGTAATGCACAAAACCTCTGAAACTATAGGCTGCCACCTCAATTAAATATTTTCCTCTGTAAGAGTTGCCATGGTCATGGTATCTCTTCACAGAAACAAAAACTCAAATAAGTCAATGAGCTCCTGTGAATTAGATTAATATCATCCACAAACTTAAAACATTTTAAAGGCATACTGTGGAACTATATATCAACCTGTTAATTATGATACTTTATTCTTTTTTATATATTACATCTAACAATTATATGTTACTATAAATCTTTCTGCCACAGCCACCCAGGCCATGCCACCAAGTGGGCCCTTTCCACCAGGCCATGGGGTAAAACAGAGCCTTCTTCACTGCAAGATATACTAACTACCCTTTCCTGGCTCCAGGAATTAGATTCTCCAATGGTGGTGGACAAAGTCATCTGGGACCTGTATTAGGATGTTGGTATCAGCCTGGGATAAGGGACTGGAGATAAGACCTGATTTGTATTCCTATAATTAAAGGATACAGAAATGATGTAAAAACAGTACTTAGGTATCAAATTTTTAAATGTTAAAACAAAACATTAACAAAAGAAATAGAGAATATGTGGACCCTGTAGGAAACAATACTGAAGGATGTGCACACAAAAACGACATTATCATGGCTAACCACTGGCAGACATGGAGAAAGGGCTAATCCAGATTCCAATATGGTTGGACTTATAGACTCCAAACATGCTGTATCTGCTGGCATGGACTGTAAATTATTTTGGGGGTCATATGAAACTATTATAAAGACCAGAAGTTTCAGTGTGTAGAAATCAAGATCTATTTGCTGTATATTACTTGTTGAGTATTAATGATAAGACCAGTAGATGCCTGAGGGCTTCTTCAAATACCATTTACCTTGGACCTTGTCATAGTCTTACTCAAGGCTCCACAGAGCTTCCTTTAATGGATATTGTTTACTCATTGGTCTTCCAACCCCTCTGTTCATAGGTGATATTTTTCTTTTGTGAAAAATTAATCTCTTTCACACTTTACTGACACAGAAGAAGGTCAGGGAAAAGGCACCAACTATGTGATAAGTTGTGGGGTTAGCATAGGACAAGGATGACATTTCTCCAGATGTCACTTTCATATCCACTCAGAGGTAGCATGGCCCTCCTTCTGTTCCTTCACTTTGACATGAAGGTTAACTATATGTAATCGTGGGGGTGACTCATGTCTCGTACTTTGCCCATACAATGTCTGCAGAATCAGAGACAGTTACATTAATAAACTTTGGGATCTTTGAGGACCAAGCAACTATACCCTACATGCAAGGAAGCCAAATGACAAGAGCTTATGAGATTTTTATATAGTGAGGGAGAGTTGCCAAATTCTAATGTATTCCCTTCCAAGGCTACTCTACCAGTAAAAACCCATACTGAGAAAACCTTTCTGTAATCCCAGAAAAGGACAGATAACAGATCTATCTCTCTATCTTTCTATCTATCAATCAATCATCCATCTATCTCTACACACACACACACACACACACACACACACACACACACACACACTTCTCAGCACTCAAAAATGAGGATATTGCCTTTGAATTTTGAGTCTCATGGCCAACCACTGTAACTTACTTCAACAAAATAATTCATAAAAATGAAAGTAATTTTGTACTAAAATTAACAATAACTAAATGGTTATAAAAGTGTGATGTGAAAAGCACAGTTGCCTGGGCTATTAAACTTCTATCTTAGATGAAAGAGATCACTTGTCTATTATCAGATATGACACTGAAAGGGAACAAACTAAGCAGCTTGATGGAAATGTGATGACATGCTGTTAACAAATTTTAAATTAAAATAGAAAAAGATACTGAGGAATAGAAATGATGATGATTTGGGGTGCTTTAGAAATTATCCTCTAATGTCTGAAAAAAATAGTTACATACTAAGAAATTACAGGGAAAACATATAACAACTTCTAATAATGGCAGAATGAATTAATACAGAGGTTGGAGAAAATATTCTGTGTTGAAGACCACTCTAAGAAAATAGAATACGACCAGACTACAAGTGAGAGCTTAAATGTAATGTGCTTAAAATTTATAGTGGTTAGCGAATTGCTTAATTAAATTGTGTAATCATGGCCAATGATTGGTTACTGGCAGTAATTTAAAACAATTCCTAAAAGTGAAAGGATATAAACCCAGTTTTATGGAATATTTTGGAAGAGGATTTGGCTGTGGAAATCTCAGAAACATGAAATGGCATGTGCTTGTCAAGGAATTATATATTTGTCTTAAGCACCGTAGCACTTATGTTAACAGGAAAGAATACTTAGAAGTGGAGAGATGGCTCAGTCACTAAAGAGCTTTCCCCCTAAGCATGAGAAACCAAGCTCTGATTTCCCCAAATCTAAGTAAAAAGCCAGGTGAGAGGACCATTGAGAAAATCCCAGAAATTATGATTTTGGAGATGGTGATACCTGTATCTCTGGAGACTTGCAAGCCAACTACTTTCTCAATATGACAGCTTGAGGCCAATGAGTTGTTTAATCCTAAGCACCAGGTGGAAAGCTGCATCAAGAGCCAAAGTTTCCCTTTGCCATGTTGCCATGCATGTAAAGACATGCAAGACCACACCCCCACACCCCCACACATTCATTCAAACACTCACACACCTAAGTACAATGTTTTAGGTAGTGTAAAGGTCCAAATATTCCAATTTGGAAACAACAAATTAGGAACTTTGGACAGTCTTTGTGAGCCTGATTCAGATGAGGTTGCAGGGATTCCATCATATCCCACCCCCCAAAATAAATAAATAACCTCTATATCATGGAAAGCACAGGAAAATGTCACATCCATAGTTACAGTATGGTCTATGGGTGAAAATGAGAGCTAAAGATATGAGACATCTACATGGTTACAAAAATATCACTGAATAGAAACATAAGCATGTATATAAATTGCATTTAAGCTACAACAAAATCTCTGTAATGGCAAAATTCTAAAACAAGGACTGACGTCATAGTTATACACCAACAACACTTAGTTCAAGACACAATGACAATGCCTCATGGTATGCCACCTGGCAGAAGTCCTGAAAAGGAGTCAAGGATGCAGTGCATCCTTTGTCAAATGTGAGGTCACACAAGATGGGGATCAAAGGCATCATTCTTCTGCTGTGTCTTATAAAGACAGCTACCCACTGCATGAAGCACAGACTTGGAAGAAACTCCAGAGCCTCTCCAAGATGCTGGCTGTTCTGTTCACAGCGGCCTTGCTGGCCCTGAGCTCTGTTCAACCCTTCAGTGAAGGTAAGAAACATAGCTGTTCAGTGAATCTGCTTGTGGATCACATGTCCCTCCTGGAAGAAGCAGAGAGAGAGAGAGAGAGAGAGAGAGAGAGAGAGAGAGAGAGAGAGAGAGAGAGAGAGCGAGAGAGAGAGAGAGGAGAAATAGGGGTCAGGCAAGTATGTCAGAAATATTCATAACACAATATGAGCACAATACAAATGAAATGTAGAGTTTAAAGTTTCTTCCAGAAAGTACATGAGCTTTTGCCAACGAAGTCAGTTTCTAATTTGTGTGGTCAAGGGTGCTCAAGTCAGTTCACTCTATGATGAAACTAGTAAAGCTCAGAGAAGTCCAGCAGTGAAGATAGTGTAATGCTGTAGTCAGTGGATAATGGTCATCTTGCTTCAGTGAATGTAGAACAGAGGAAAGGATATAGGGCCATTTCTGGGTAGGATACTCAAATAACTAATTTAAAAATGCTATCTCTTTGCTTCTCTCTTGTCCATGGAGAAAATGCCAGGAAAATTGGTTGTCAGAGACCTCAAATGTTAGTTCGAAGCATCAGATACGATATTTGTTACCATCAATACATAGATTAAGAGAAAATTTCCATGAAGCCTATGTGGGAGGTATCATGAGGGTGATTGACAAATAAGAGGAAATATATAATAATAATAGAGTTGTTAATAAAAGGTAGGAGGGTATTTATTTCATCACTAAATTTATCTCTTCTTGTTATGTACCAATGAAGTACTTCAGACTGCGTATCAGAGCCTAATCACATAACATCTATTGCAGGATTCCCGCAAGGACCTCCTCCCAAGCAAGGCCCACCCCCTCAGGGAGGCCCACCGCAGAACCGACCACCTCAGCAAGGCCCACCCCCTCAGGGAGGCCCACCGCAGAACCGACCACCTCAGCAAGGCCCACCCCCTCAGGGAGGCCCACCGCAGAACCGACCACCTCAGCAAGGCCCACCCCCTCAGGGAGGCCCACCGCAGAACCGACCACCTCAGCAAGGCCCACCCCCTCAGGGAGGCCCACCGCAGAACCGACCACCTCAGCAAGGCCCACCCCCTCAGGGAGGCCCACCGCAGAACCGACCACCTCAGCAAGGCCCACCCCCTCAGGGAGGCCCACCGCAGAACCGACCACCTCAGCAAGGCCCACCCCCTCAGGGAGGCCCACAGCAGAACCGACCACCTCAGCAAGGCCCACCCCCTCAGGGAGGCCCACCGCAGAACCGACCACCTCAGCAAGGCCCACCCCCTCAGGGAGGCCCACAGCAGAACCAAGGTCCTCAGCCTGGAAACCAGCAAGGCCCACCTCCACAGGGAGGTCCTCAACAGAACCAAGGCCCTCAGCCTGGAAACCAGCAAGGCCCACCCCAACAAGGAGGCAGACCACAGGGACCTCCCCAGGGCCAGAGTCCTCAGTAATCAAAGATAGATCACCAGGTAGGATTTCAATTTACTTTTCATGAAATATCTTAATTCCTATGGTTTTGCAAGTACAAGCTACACCAATTCTACTTTAAACACCTTACAATACATATTTTGTTTTCTCTCTCTTTGGATATTTTTTGGTTATATAGAGAGATGATTTATGTTTTGTATATTCCTCAACTTATAATGATCATGAGGAGGGATGCTTATAGGTGCTTGACAAAATGATTGTCTGTTGTTTGTGCAAGAAGAGCAATGTTCTCTCTAAACTCTGCTGCCTCCTTTAACCTGCCAGCAGTCCCATCTTTATTAGTTCTACCTGATCATTCATTATGTCTTTAGTAGATGAGTCCTTAATGCATTGCTGTGAAATGTTAATCTTTGGTTCATGAGAACTTAATGCATTGCTGTTAAATGTCACCAGCATTTTTACAATGCATTCACATTCTCATATACCCCAAGTAAAAAAAATAAACTAGAAATCAGGGCAGCAAGTTAAATCTTATAAATATGTGTTCTTATCCCTCCTTTGCACCACTGTGTTCAAAGTCTACCACTAATTCTTTCAACATTCTATTAGAAATACACACACACACACACACACACACACACACACACACACACAAATATTTCCTAATCTGCACATTACACTATGATTATTTTTTATTTTAAAACACAATATTTCATAGAGATACCATATTTGTATTATATTTTTGGTGGTTTGGTTTTTGCAGTAGTGAACCATTACACTCTGTGCCTCTGCGATCATTGATTAGCTAATATCTTGTCAGTGGACTTTCAGGGTGGTTTATGTTTTTCACTAATGTGGGATGTATCTTATGAACCATCTTTCTAAATATGTCTTAAGACTTGTGATGAGTGTGTGAGACAATGTTCATGTAGGCCAGGCTGGGTTCAAACTTGCTGTGTGTCCAGGGTGCCCTTGAATTCCCTCTATTCCGCAAGTGCTGTGATTGGCATATGTCATTGCCACCAGTTTAAGATGTAATGTTCTCATGCTGAAGCCATATAACCAATAAATATTATTTCATCTTTTCAGCTATGATTCAGGGTACATTATGTCCTAGGTGATTAGCAAGAATGAGTAAAAAAAAAATAGAATGGGATTGGACAAAGATTAGAGAAAGAGTAAAAAGTCACGAACTTCTATCTACATCATTTACAGATGCTAGAAAGAGATGAGAACTTCATCTTAGTATACGTTTCCTATAACTACTTTTTGTATTTGTTTCTTTCAGAAAATGAATAAGAAGATAATGACCTTGTTGGATTGTGCAGTTGGAATAATGTAGACATAATTTATCTTCATAATTCCAATTAAATCACAAGCATGTAATTTCTGACTCTTGTCTCTGTTTATGGGTGTAATTTAGCCTGGAATTTGACTACTTTAGACACAATTTAATAGCACCCAGGACTCTTATGTCATGGATGCTTCAACCTTTCTATCTTCCATGTCCACAAACCAAGTGTCAAGTGGAAAAAGATTCCATGGTATCCACACTGGATTGTCTTCTAAGAAAAATATAGTCTTCAACTGTTATTCTTGTACTTTGGAAAAAGAAAATACAAACTATTTGTGTAGAAAGTTTAGAAACAGACATTCTTATTTCTAAGATAAGTGATTACATTTTCTTGGGCGATTAATTGTTTTTCCACATTATTTTGCTGTAATATACTACACTCTCTCCCACTTGACATTCACTAAATATTGTCTTCCAAAATATGGCCATCATTTTTTATTAAAACATACACAGATTCCATAAAATAGACAACAATGAAGGCATTTAATGGCCAGCCTTAAAAACCTCTGCCCAGGGTGCAAAGGACTTGCTACAATAAGCAAAGGAACTAGGATCTAAAGGCAAAAAGAATTCTCCACTATGTGCTTTTCTGCGTTAGTTATTTTATCCTTCTCCCTTCCTCCAAAGTTCCCACTTTATATACAGATACTGCCACAAATAGCAATTCTCTGGCAATAGCAGGTATATTCGGCATGCATTTGTCATGGCCATGAAATCAGATAAGAGCTAACAAAGTGGTTGCCTGTATCTTATTTTATGTCTCAGATGTGGTATGGATGTGAGACTCCTCAGCTGATAACTGGGAGGATTAATTAAGCAGGGAGCTTTAAATCAGTATAGAATTCTAGGAAGAAGAAAAAAAAGGTTTATGTGTTCTGAACTTACATTCTTAAGTGTGGCTAGTTAAGCTAGAAGTCTGTAATCAGTAACTATGAAAAGTGGAAGAGATGCTGTAGCTCTGTACTTTCTCAGCACTGGCTTTTGCTTTCTTAGCAGCTGGGAATACAGTTTCATGGTCACTATGGAAGCCAGCTGAAGCTGCTGAAGGAGGAAGTGTGGTATTTGAGCCACATTAGCATTTTTGTCAAATACTAGATGTTTAAGGGGGGACCTCTCATCCCTAGATAGCACATCTAAGTGGCTAGATCCAAGGGAAAAACCATGACTCTATTGCAAAATCCAGATGCCGGTGCTTACTGCCTCAGGCTAAAATTCAGGGCGCCTGTTCCAAGAAGGAATTCCTTTTTCTAGGCTAGTAAAGTGATGAAATGCCTTTTCAAGAACTCAAGGCACCCAGTTTATATCCTTTATATCAAAACTATACAGGAAAATTAATAGTACTCTTCCTGAGTAGACAAAGAATATATGGTCAGTAGATGAAATTCTTTCAAGAGATAAACCAACAAGCAGTGAGAAACACCCAAAGCTGTTTTTAGAAAGAGATGAAGTGACTCATGAGAGAAACTACAGACAGAAGCAACTGATTTCCACAGCAAGTTACTCCATGGCCTCACCAGGCGGGGCTTCTGACCAGAAAGATCACTCATCTGGCAGGTCTGCCTGTTGAGCAGTAGTTACCCTGCTGCACCTCTCATGATCCTTGACAAAGAAATGTGTTAGGTTTAGACGATAAAATACTGTAAGCCCTGAAGAAATGATTTTGGGGACTATGATTTTTTTCTTGCCTGGACTCTCAGTATAATTGCCAATATATACATGGGATAATACAGTAATGTAACAAACGAGGTTCTTACTAATCATACAATTTCTGGAAAAGCCGCTACTGCCTTATGTTGCTCTGAGTCACAGATGGTTAAACAGTGTTTCCTTTTACTGCAGCAAAGTTCACATCACATATAACATAATTAATTAGTTTAGCATATATATGAACACATAGTTTATGATGTAATAAAGCTTGCTAGGTGATCAGAATGGCAAAGCAGGCCACAATCATAAAGGCTGGACAACGGTCGAATACACCTTTAATCCCAGGTCTCAAGAGACAGAGGCAGATGGATCTCTGTGATTTCAAGACCACCCAGGGCTACATGAGAGTGAATCAGTATAAAGGTGATACAGAGCTCATAGCACTAGAGAGAATATAAGGAGCTCAGGAACAGTATGAGGTTTGGTAAGGGGAGAGCAGTCTGGAGATGCAAATCTGAACATTGGTGGATCACCCATTCTGATCACTGATAAGGGTGGTCGCTCTCAAGTGGCTGAATGCTTTGCTTTTCTGATCTTCAGCTTAAACCCCAATATCTGCCTCTGGCTTTTTTTTTTTTTTTGGCATTGTATATATTGTTGCCCAACGTAAAGGTATAAATCCATGAAAAAGTACTTTGCCTGTGGCTTTGAAACCACTGGCCCAGGCCAGAGCTACATGCTAGGTTTTCTTTTGCCTTTTCTCCAAGCCTCAGAAGACCAGCAGACTTTACCTTTGGGCCGTTCCCACCACATGTGTTTTTTCTAAACAATCCCATGTGTGGTTTATTCAGACTGTAGTCTCTCTACCTCTCTCCCCCCTCTCTCTCTCTCTCTTTTTCCTTCCTCCCTCCCTCCCTGCCTCCCTCTCTTTCTCTCTGCCCCCATGTGGATTGCAGGCTCTTTCTACAGCCCCACTCCTGAGGCAGACACCATTAGTTCACAGGTGCGTACTAGTTCTTGGTTTAGAAATCATATGCCTCACAGTTCACTGACACTTTCTGAGCATTTGGAAAGACAGTTGAGCATTCTTAAAGGAAGGAATGAGTTAAAAGAGACAGCTTTCAAACATTAAATTGGGAAACACACTTACCATGGGGAGAGATAGGTTGCTGTACAATTATGCATTGCATGATTTAAAAATGGAAGAGTTAAATGAAGGGGATAATCAACTTAGTCAGGATTGACATATTGTTCATTGTTATTTTGATAACTTTTATTGTTGGATTGAAAGTCCTTGTTTTATCTCTAAAAAAGTTGGTTGATTTGAGTGCCTTAGAGGATGGAGGCCTTAGAGAAACTTACCAAAGCAGATCATAGAGATATTCAAATCCAGTCAGAGGAGTTCAATGGAGAACCAAGTTTATTAATGCATTATAAGTTTAAGGAAGACCAGTCTAAGATTACAAGAAAAGCAACACTAATACATCCAGGCACTTTACAAGAAGTACCAAATGAAAGAGACTCTGTAAGAGCTAGTTGGACTCCTGTGACATTGTTATATTTAGGAAAATTCAAGGAAGCAGTAGTCTCATATGGTATCCAGTCAGCATTTGTGAAGCAGATGTTGAACACATGGTCAGTTTGCAATAGGACTATTCCCACAAGCTGGATAGACTTGGCTAAAGCTGCTCTCGAGCCTGCTCCGCAGTTACATGGCTCATAGAAGAGGCTAAGACTATTGAACAAAGGGCTAACCCTCAAGGTATGGATATCTTCCAAGATCAACTTTTCCAGGAGATAATGCTACTTTAGAAAGGTAGTGTCTAAATGATGATCACCTCTTGTCTTTATGCCATGCAGATGTTTTGGATTCTTGGGACTGAATTGGAGAAATAGGAAGAAATTTGGATCATTTACAAAAGTTATCCAGGACCCAAAGGAATCCATAACAAATTTCTTACAAAGACTGATTTCATCAGTAAATAAAATGAAATTAGATTCAGTAGTTAGAATAATAATAAT